AAGAGTACGCCCCCCCCCCGGTCTTTGAATCGGGGTTGGGTTTTCGTCGCTTGGCAGCGATGTTGTAAAACAGGCCGATCACTTCTTGAACACGGCAACCAGGCTACTCCTTTTTTTTTGCCTTTGTTCTTGTTTGTTGCGGTAACCATGAATGGTGGTCGAGTAGATATGTTGTGCGGGGTCGAGAACCCTCACTCCGCGCAAAGCGATGATCGCACCACGTTGAGTTAAATTGGTCAAGCACCCTCGAGGCAGTTACACGGTGCTTACAACTGTCTCTGGAAGAGAAAGCGCGACAAAATTCAATAATTTTAGTCATAATCAGCTGTCATCCGTACGCAAGGAAGTGAGCACAAGATGCCGAACACCCTTAGCAGGATGCAGCGCACACTTCATGCGACTCACCGAATACCTCACGGTGCTTCGAGCTTGGTGATGTGAGAGCCTGGTCCGGTGAGAACCCGGCGTGATCCTTCCCGGCTTTGTAGGAATGCGAGGTCAATGGTCTAACGACGACGGCATGCACGACTATGAGTACACCTCTCATGAGTAGACCCACTCCGCGCCCTGTCCGACGCTCTATAGGGCTACTTTGATTGTTGCCCTCCCGCGCCCGTGCGGCTATGGGCCCACGGTCGTCTCGTCGTGTTTTCTGCATATTGCCCGACGCCCCTTTCCGCCGCGACTTTGGCACACGGCCTTCCGGTCGTTTTTCTGTGCCTCCACCCTCCCATGCTACTGCAATGGTGCCATCTGCATCATCTCCTGGTGCTGCTGCTGCTGCTGCTGTGTGTAGATGGAGCGCGCGGTGAACCGCGCGGCTTTTGTGTCTTTCCCCCGCCTATTCTTACAAAGCCTCACGTGCCACATCCATCCCCTCGTCATCGTTCGCCTCCGTGATCGTCAGGATTTCCTTCTCGTCCTTCGCCGACAGGCACTTGCTCGTATCGACTCCAAATTCGCCGCAGTTCTCGCACCGGGGGATGAATTGGACAATGGGGGAAGTGCACGAGAACGACTGGTGACCTCGCTAGTTCCCGCGGCGGCCGCCGTCACCGCGACCGTCTCCACCGCCGTTCCCGTTGCCGTTGCTGCCGTTGCCGCCGTTACCGCCGCCGCCGCGTCCCCCGCGACCGCGGTCGCGGTTGTGTCCAGCTTATCCGCCGCCGCAATTGCCTTCGCTCGCTATGAATGGCTGCTCGGTCGCCTTGTGATAGTTTCGGTTGCCGTTCCCATGGCTCTTCCCTTGCCTGGTGTTGGAGTGCTGAGAGCCCACCACGCGGATGATCTCCCCCAGATCCAGAGTCGGGGCGGACTGCAGGGTCAGTTTGACGTGGTTGTACTCGGCCGGTAGGGCCGAGAGGAAGAGCGACAGAACGTAAGGGGCCTCAACTTTGACCCGCTGTCGCTCAGACAACATGCGAGATGCTCGATGGCGATAAGCGATTCAGTTTTTCTCGGACGGCACTGCGAAGTTCTGGAACTTGCTGAGCAGCTCCTGTGTGGCGATTCCGTGTTGTGAATGTTGTCTAGATCACCCAGGGCCTGTTTCGACTTCACGAATCTATCGAAGATGGCCTTGTCTGATTCCCTCACGAGGACCGAAGACAGGGGAGACAGGGGAATGGAAGGTATGGAGGCTGCGGTGTGTTTCTGCCTCAATGTACCCTTCCTCCAGCAACGTACGTTTGGGTTTCTCCATGTCCCCAACCGGCGCCTGGCGTTCTGTGACCCCTTCGAACTGACCGTCCACGTCGATTGTTTTAGCGGCTTGGCGGAAGGCCCTCCTCCACGTATAACACCCTGGTCGCCCTCGAGACGCGGCGCGTGCACGGACACACACGCATTTCGCTGTACGGGTTCTGGTGAAAAACCGCCTCCTTCTCCACCGAGACCTCAAAACCCACCGCCATACATCTCGGTTGTCTCACCTCGGGGGAACGATCCCATGACGTCCCCCCCACCAGGCCCAGTGGACGCCGTGATATCCTCGTTTTGCGGCCCCTCCTCCTGATGCCGCGGGTGGGCGCAGCACCCGTAACGGCAGCGCCCACCCCAGCGCTGCCGAACTCCCCTCCTTCTCGCTATTTCTTCAGGCAACTCGGAGAAGGTCCGCCAGCCCCTGTACTGGGTCTTCCAGACCTGCCACTTTGTTCTCCATGTGTTCGACCCTGTCCTGCTCACTTGCGGCGACGTCGGCAGCCTCTGCTGCAGCATCGGCGCCACCCCTCTCCAGCACGGGTTCCCTCGAGGGGTACACTCTAGAGTTTTGTGTGCGTTGAAGATGCTTGTATCACTTGTATTGAGTACAGCAGCCGAGATCAAGAGTCTAAGACAAGGTGGCGGGAAAGAGAGTGCCACAACGCAGCAAGCAATCCCGGAGAGCCGAGCCACGCGGATCAAACATAGACCCGACGCAGCGTACTACTGTATCAATTCTTATCTGCGTAGTCACTTTAGTCCCGTTGGAATATCCTCAACCGCTCATGCGCGCTCGAACGAACACTACTTCCTTCAAGACATCGACATTTCCCACAGTTTGCTTCCGTTGTCGAAAGGGTAATGTACCTCTGCGTCTTTGAAAACCATGTCTCACACCAGACCTCCGGACCCCGACCTCCTATCTGCCTCCTCACTCGCGAAAAGGCACATATGCGATCGATTAGTCATCGTCAAAATCATTGAGCTTCATGGTAACACGCAGACGTACACTCTTCCCACACCCAACACTATACTCTGCAGCCAACTCTCTGGTGAGCTTCATGGTAACACGCAGACGTACACTCTTCCCACACCCAACACTATACTCTGCAGCCAACTCTCTGGTATACTGTACGCCTGCTGCGAATTATTAAACAACCCTTTCTGTAGGTCTCGCTCGAAAAGGCACGCCGAGTACTCAACATATACCTCGTCAGGTGCGCATGCCACTGTCGTGACCCTCGCTTCAGATCATACCGGATAAGCACCATCACCCTGTGGTAGACACATGAAAACATCCTCGTATGAAAACATCCTCGTGAATGTCAGAGTGCACAACTGCTTGCTGATGTCCAAATGGCACCAACCAGAATTCTGCTCCCGCCCCCCTCCCAGCTCCCACATCCTCCAAATCTCGGATTCTATACTGGTCTCCGTCGTCGCCTAATCCACCTTCGCGCATGTTAGATTGCAAGCCCACAGTCGTGGATGCTGCAGACCAATACTATTCCCCCGCGAGAAATCGACAATTTTCCCCACCCTTCGCGTGCTGACTTCGGCATGATAACAACTCCTTGCACGGCCTGCACCGTACACAAATCATTGCACCGACAGTCCCGTGTCACAACGAATGCATGAAACGAGCGTCTCAATGTCTTCCCACCGTGAAAGTTGAAGACCACCCCTTTCCTGTCAGGAAGACGCAGCAATTGAGCTGCTAACGCGCACGCTTAATCGAACGCGCATGGAGGCGTGTGGAACGCCACAACAAACAAGGCAACGCCCCTACCTCGAGCTACGAGCGCTCCCAACGTGTGCAACTGGCCAGGGACGGTAGTGCGCACGTGTCCGACGAGACGCAAGAGGGGCAGAGCCAGCATCCTTGACGGTAGCCCCCAACCTTCGTTGATCGACTTGAACCCACGACAAATACCCGCGGACGACTTCGCTATCGGCGGCATGTCCCCTCTTTTCACGCTCGTCGGAGGATCGGACATACCAGTATCTCGGACACCGTGCACTTGATTTTCGATTCAAAACAGTACCCAATGTTTAAGCCGCGTCCCATTTCGCACATGCACTCCCTTGCACTCCCTTGCACCGCTTGTCGACATGATGGCAGCGAATCAGACCCGATTTTGACGCAGTCAACTGCATGAACAACCTTCGTATCTTTTCCATGGGAATCCAAACGACCAAACCACTCGTAGACGTGGACGTCAGCGGCGGTTTTCCACCCCGGACTTCCTTTCGTTCACAGCAGAAGTTGACATTCCCATCATTGTGGGCCTTACATGCACTAGATAAGATTTGCGGTATTCTGTCGGACGCTCGCGTTGCCCCGGGGGGGACCCTCGCGAGAACATCCTTCGCGCCATGCTGAAGTCATAAAGAGAATAATGCGAACGAGAGAAAGAAGTACACGACTGTCAATAACCGTATCAAACATCGCACAAATCAAATTTCACTACTACGTTCCATGACACTTGTCGCGACCATGTGCACTACTTGGTCGTCCCCTGTTGGCCTGAATCCGACCAGAGGACTCGTCCTCGTACATTCCCATCAGTATAAGTCACTCAGACCTACGGCGCAAGCTACTGCTGCGCCGTCCTATTGCCCTCGTCATTCGTGTATGACTGCAGGCGCTGTGTGAGCAAAGGCAGCCAGTGCATGTACACCAAACGGAGCTGGCACCTCAACCAACTACGCCAGGATCAACGTCAGCCTCAGTCACCTGATCTTGATGGCGTGCACAATTCAGAGGCCTTGCTGCAATCATCACCACCTGGAGAACTGGTATCATCTGGCATGTTACCCTTGAAGAGGTACAATACTTCACGACTCCCCTGGTTTTGTGCGTCGACAAGCCAAGCGAATGGACATGCCAATTGAACACGAAAGACATACAGACGTGCAGCGCTAGCTCTCAAATCAATCCCGAGTGCAGCTGGCGCTTGACGACGATGTTGAAATGTTTGTTTGGCAAGGCTTCATGTTCTTCATGGAGCGCCACTTTGAGGTCCCCAAATCGGGGCGCCCAATGGTACCTACAGTAGGCCATGATGGTCGCTGGCGGCGAACGGCCGGAACATTCGGTAGGTTTGCACTTTTTGCCGCACCTGTAGGAATGGAAGCACCTGATCGATATTGGAGTCTTGTCAACCAGAACTCCCGTCAGCGATGGAGAGTGCCCGGTTGCGTCTTGCGTATACATGTGTTCATCCTGCCTTGCTCCATTTGCTGTCGCTACATACAGGTTCAGGGTGAGTGCATCTCCGGCGACCGGTCTCGTGGGAATGGAGGAGAGCGTCTTCCTCAGCGACTTCTTCGGCTGCGTTGGTTTTCTTCCGCTTACCACCCAGAGGTGTCGCATGCAATGTCCTTTGGAATGCATTGTACACTGGGTAGGACGAGCTGCTGCCATAGCCTGCTACAACGTTGCCGTTGGCTCGAGTAATTTAAGCAGCCTCTGCATGGCGCGGTGTTCATGTGGGTCTGTGGTGTCAGTGTTTCCCGTAGTGTCATCCCCTACCATCGCCCGACCCGTGGTATCCTTGCGGCGTTTTTGTTTCCTTGGCCAGTCACATTCGCGAGACGATGGTGGAGATGATGACAGCTCCGGCCCCTCTCCAGCAGCCAGCCATTGCGGGCATCTGGGACGAGGAAACGCGTTTCAGTGAAATCGAACGAAGGGCGAACTGCAGGAAGGCCTCGGATGTGAACCAGCTTCCGATGAATCCGCAGTCTTGCACTTTCTGGTGTGCAATTGCTCTAGGAGCAGTGGCGAAGGGCAATCCCGTCGAATCGGTGCGAAGGGGCGTCGTTGCTGCATGTGTTGGCGAAAACGGGTTTCGTTTCATGACCGTGAATCAGGGTTCCTTCCACCCGTTGTGACTACATGCCATTGGAATTCCTAAATGGTGCGCTGCAGATGTTTCTTTTGTAAATTGTTACAATTGCTTGCTCATGCCACAGACGTCCAGCCCCGCTGATGCTCGGTAACAGGTGGAGAAGTACTCTCAGCTGGCCCAAGAAGCGCTGCCAAAGAGCGTCTCGGGTCCCGCGGACGCTGAGGTCGCAAAGTGAGTCACTATAGGATAACCTCCTTCAACAACGCCGCCGCTCTTGCCTTTTGGGACCGTCTTTTGCCACGCATTCCTGGCATAAGAATTCGGCCTCTGCTCACTATAGTCGGCCTCTGCTCACTCTAAATTCCAAGGTACAACGTGATGCTCACGTTCCCGGGACGTTGGCCAAACTTATCCGATGATCAGGGCTCCATTAACAAGCTTATTCACGCCAATTGTTCCTTTGCTCCTCTTTTTTCCTACCCAGGGCGTGGGCAATGCTGGCCTACCTGTGCGGCTTTATGGGGGACTTGGTGAGTACCTCCCCGTCGTGGCACTTATTGTCGGGAAATAATGCGCTTCGTTGTTGATCCTCGTGAAATCGTTCTGATTCTCTTGATGAAAGCAGCCGGGGTGCGTAAAATTGCAATTTGGTCGGTTCGATACAGTGCTTGCAACATGCTGAGACTGCTCTGCCTAGACCTACTTCTCTTCATTAATTTTCTCCAACGTGCTTCGGTTCGACCATTACCCCAATGTTACAGGCAAGGTATCAAGAGTACCTGGCTGTGTCGGAGTCTTTTTTCAGGAGTTCTGTCGAGCACGGGTCCACCGGTACGCTTCCATTGGTGAGAACAACGTTTCGCACCCGTTTACGGTGCTAAGAATGACGAGTGACTGGGTTGGGAAGACCTTGCCTCCTCTTCGCTTCCCTCTGCAGTTACGAGTGCAGCACATCAATTCCGACGACGAAAGGCTCTTTTCGCGGTCAGAGAACACCCTGAGCGAAAAGCCGGTGCTGGCACGAACGATATTGTATGATGGCGCGTTCCTCTCCGCTCTTGATGCTATGGGCTGAGCAGCTGCCGATATCGCTGACGTATCTATATTTCCCATGCGGATGTGCGCCGCGCAGGGATTCGCGGAGGTTGTCAAGTTTACAGAGGTATCTGATTCTTGCTGCGGGCAGCGGCAGATAAATTGGTCTAGCGGCGAAGAGCAAGCGATGCCGCAGGTGCGTGAGACGGTTGCATCGCGGAGCCGTCGGGCAATGAGCCCTTTGAACCACATCTTGCTGCACGGAACCGAAGCACCGAGAGTAGTTCACGTGGTTGTTTTCTGTCTTCCGAGAAGCTTCTGCACCGGGCATGGTCATTGCATGATGGACTTACACTTTCAGCATGTAGAGTGGCATTCTGAAAGTCACGTTTTTCTCTTCTGGCCAGCACCACGTCCCGTGCTTTCTGACCCACTTTCGCCCACTACCCTTGCTGCCCTGCATTCTCAGTTGAATGAAGCTGCCACCGAGGGCGAGATATATCGGTATGTCGCTCAATCGTTAAAAGCTTTCGAGCAGGGCACCCACGCAATAGCGAATGAGCAGAGAGTGAAGGCGGGCGAGACCCCATGCGAGGACGAGCGTGATGGACGATCTAATGGAGCCCGCCCATCCCGACGTGCCCTTCTGCCAACGGAGATTTCAAACGCTATGAGTACTTTGATGGGAAGTGGGGGCTGTACCGAATTCGGGCCGCTTCAAGGAGTGATGGATGGGTGAGTCAAAATATATGATGTAAACGCCAGTGAAGACATCTCTACCGAGACCACGGAGCCGTGAGGGTGATTATCGGGGTCATTCAGGCGCGAGCACTGTTTTGCCTGGATATTCAGGACGACTTTCCTCCTTCTATTGGCTCACATGTTCCCATACGCTCGTTGTTGTGCATCTTACTTGCAACCGACATGAATGTTGACGTGGATGCGGTCACTCTGGCAATAGACCTGGTATGCGTGGTGGTGTCGGCAGCCTTCTCGTCAACATGTAAGTGGGCGATGGGTTGGATATGTTATACGTAGGTGCCCATCCAAGACTATGACTTCCGAAATAAGCCCAACTTTGGTCGATACGAGATGCTGAAATGATGTCTCAGTTGGTGTTTCAGTGACCATGTGCGCCAAATGTGATAAAAATCATCCTGAGGTTGTTACTGTTGTTCTCAAGCACCTTCCGATCCAGCACTATAATATATTTGCACTTTGGCAACTGCCGATCGAAAGTGGCGCTGTGGCGCTTAGAAAGCATTTTTCGGCCAACACAGTTGCTTGCTCGTTTTCAACGAGATAGATTATCTCACGGGGAACGTCTTCGCCCCCTATCTTATCCTGGAAACTACCGTATTCGGCAGGAACCTTGTGTTTGAAAAGGCAGCAACGCTCGATCTCGATGCCACCCTGGAGAGAGTTGGCCGCTGCATTGAGGTTTTTGAACGGTATCCTGGCTTGTGCCGCGGCACCATGGGGTGAGTCGCTTCGTGCACCCTGCGTTCATGTAGCGGTGGCTTTGGTTGATGTTCTTGGGAATCCTCAGATTGGGGTCGACAGACTGCGTGAGCTACTGTGCGTCCGCTTCCCCTTTCTTCGGGTCTTGGGCTATTACGAAAGCAATATATCAAGAGGAAACTTCGTTTGATTAAATTCGTAGTGAACGGGAGGCATTTCAACCTGGGCAAAGGTGCTCTTCGACATAACCTATCAGCGATAATGTCCGTGCTTGGATGGCGCCTTTCGGTGGACTCATGGCATATTCGTCATGAATCCTGAGCAGCGCGTATTTGTTTTTCCTTTGTCTACGATGTGCCCACTTTTTTTTGTGTTAGCTCGTAGTTATCTCTGTTGATATATTCCTGACTGGGGCTTGTATGGCCGTTGCTCATTAGCTGGTCATGAACTATTGTTTATAAGGTTGGATGTCTTCTCCCCTATTGGTTCTACTGCAGCAGCATTAGTGCCCCCCACCTCCTGCGACTTGGATGTGTCAGGGATGCTTGCCTCTTTTGCGATTAATCGCTCTCTTGTTCGCCTGTTCCTAACAGTAGCACGGGTGCAGCAGATACATATCTGCGATTGAGGTTTCCACATGGCAATGGGTTTTGATTGAGTACATTTTATGGGTTTTGGTCATGCACTAGAATGCGTTTTGGTGCTTTCGTTGAGCACATTGTTTCTTGGCGCGAGTGTGCTAGAGTTCCTCCGGATCTGTTCAAGCTTGCAGGAATGGAAGCCCGGTTCTCTGTGCTCGACGCGTAGAGAAGATCAGGTGCTAGGCAGTTTGACGAGCGACCAAAAAGAGACACTAAAACTGGACAGGGATTCGAGGGGTGTTGAAGCGAAACAACACAGCATGGATACAGTAGAGTGGACCTGTCATGGTGTTCGCTGCATGCTCTAGAAAGCGACTTCCGCGACTGTCTTCTTTTCTCAAGCCCCCCGCTACTGGCGTGTCCATTAAAGGTACCACAAGGCACATATGGTGCTGGTCTGGCTCGCAGCGATTGATGACTCCAGAGCTCGAGCGATGTACAACAGGTTGCGCGGTTCATACAATCCATTTCGCCGTGCTGGCTCGCGGCCCGTACCCCTATTGGAGGAGTGGCACGGAGTGGCTACTTTTTGCGACGATGTCTATTGCAGGTATGTTTGAAACCCCTTGCCGATCGCAGATACCTCAAATGTTTTAGTCCAACTGCAGGATGAACGAGAAGTAGCACAAACTGCCTACAGTAGTAGCGTTGATTCGGCAAGGATTGTTTCTTTTAGGGCAACGAGATAATGACGTAGTCACCAAGGGGCTTGCAGTTGTGTCATGGAGCACGCGCGGTCAACCGGGACGCCGTGAGTACTCTCCAGTATCCTCTCTCGATATGAACACAACCTTCGACTGTGCCGCTCGCTTGGTAGGGCTATCGAGAACATCATTACTAGCGAGCCATTTACCGCCTTGGCGGCGCCATCCATAGACGGCATCGACGTTTGCGATGGCGCGAAGGGCACGGACAACTGCAAAGGCGAGGCGGCTCTAGTCGGTAGCTGGCAGGCCCAAGGTGAAAAGCTGTCCGCCTGTAACATTCCTCCGACGATCACCGACACAGCCTCCGATCGACCAACTGAGAGCGGGGCTGAGTGCGGTTCGGGTTTGAGCGTGGTGTCGAAGTCACCAATTGCTACACCAGTATCATCACAAAACGCATGCACTCAGTCGAACGCGGGACTGATCTCCAACGGCGTGGAAAACGGCACCACCATCGTGGCCGTGGCTCCCGAGTCCTTCCCGAGGTTTTCACAAGTATGGGAAGGCGGTGATTTGACGAACGATACGGAGGGTGATGGCGCTGCTGCCGAGGATTGGTTAGATGTGACCTATGCCATGTTACGTGCACTCTGAATAATGTGGTGAGAGTGCCCTCGGGAAACACAATTTGGTAGGCACACTCTGGGCTGGCAAGCCAGAGGTCCTCGTTGGGAGACCAGAGGGGTGCTTTCCTCTCTCGGTTGTGCGGTCCGAGTATGGCCTTGCGTCGCAACGATCCATCTTGGCAAAACCTTTGTAGTAGAAAGAGCTGTCACAACAGCCGCACGGTTCAGTGGTTCGCTTCTCAATGTCTGTGGGGTCGGCGAAGGTTGTCATGTACAATATTACGCCGAGCCCATCATAGGGATGTTCATCGACGACGTAGAGACGACAGACTACCTTGCACCCGCAAAATAAAAACGTTAATTCGGATTTTGTTTCCCTGGGGGTCGCCACAACATAGTGCCTACATGCGGCAGCGTCTTCAGGATTTACCGCCATTCGGTGCTGGTTTTTCGCTGTGTTTTCTACAGTAGTAGGCGAACTCGTTCGCGGTATTGTTTGCTCTAGCTTACCGTATTGTTCCTTGTCACTTACCTGCTATAGCCGCGAAGGGGTTATTGTGAGGTGTGACATGCATGCACACGTGCTGCTGAAGTGAGCAGTTTCTTTCAGTCATGCTCCATGGGCATGGCAGGTATGAGAGAGACTTGCTCTTCGGGACGTTTTGGGTACGGGTCCGAGCTATGGGAACGTCGTCCAAAAGCAGCTGAACACAATGCGCTGTCTAGCCTTCGTATCACCGCATTTTCCTGTTAGAGTTTCATCGTTCCTTGAATTAAAAGGCCGCGGTGTAGCATTGAATTGCTGCATTCACATATTTGGCATTCCTTCCTCTATAAGCCACGCATGTCGACCGATTTTCTTCGACTCCTTCGTTTATTTTTCTCGCGACGGGGTTGGAATGCACGTTTCGTGTGTGCCAGTACTACTGCAGAGGAAAATGATGTCGTGAGCGATCAGGAGTAACTTGAGAATCTTCATGGGTTTGGTGTCCGTTCGTACGGTGTTCGCGTCTTGAACCTTGTCGGTGGAACCATGAACGCCTTTGAGTGCGCATGTGTACGACTGTGGCAGAAGTGGCTCCCTCGTGGGTGTTCATTTCATTTTTGTCGAGGTTCTGTAACGATTGTTCTGACAAGCGCTCAAGATGTAGAGATACAACCTGTTGTCCACTGGCGGATATGCAATAAAATATGTATTGTAGACGGTAGGGGGTCTTTTCGCCTCCCCGCCCAACAGATCGATTCGAAGGTACACGGCAAGACTATAGCCAAATACGTTCTCGGCGAGCAGACTCGGACTTCTTCAGCGAACGTGGGGAGAAAGCAACGAGGAAGAGGGAAGGAGGGGGGTCCGGGTGGAAAAGGCACGGCGAAGGGGATGAAGAGGAGGAGGGGAGGGGGAGGAAGAGAAGGAAGAGCAGCCGGGCGTACGCTCAAGGGGGTGTAAACGCACCCCGAAACGGCGGTTTGGTTGGGGACTTTTTTCGCGCAAGAGAGTATAGTGTCGGAAATTGGTCTGTGGAATGGTAGGCAATGGGAGGTAGTTATTGCGAGCTCCTACATCACATATGTATCGCGGTTTCCGTCGAGCATTGAGGTTCTTCCTTCACGCCAGGCATGATGCTACACCGGGCTTTTGCATTCACTGAATATTGCTTCAAGGATGTGTGGTGGTTTCTCCAGCGCGTCCTTGGCGCACAAGGCAGCTTCTTAGTGCCACGCAGTGTTTCATCTGTGTACACGATAGGTTAAACAGGTTTGACGCGTGGACTGTCCAATGCATGTGCTAAAATATTGACTAAGAAAACTTGAGAAAAAAATGAAAAAAGGAATTTGCGAGCCCTATTGGCTGTAGTACCGGGATGTACGTGCGCGGGGTAACGTTTTTCCGGCACAAACAACCTTGGGCGTATTCTGTATCCCTGTGTCCACTACGTCCTCTCGAAAAATCCCACCATTCATTGCTTTTCGGCATCTCTCACAAGGCCCTCGGCGTTTGTTTGTTGTGCAGAAGGTGGTCTGGGTCGATACTCTTCTTCCTCTTTTCCATGGAATTTCTTCCTCCCCCGTCGCTGTTTCACGCCTCGGTGGTCTTCCTTTTCACCGCCTTCCGTCCCTATTTTATTACGAAGAGCGTCATCGTACCGCCGATAGAGTACGCCGTGGAAGTATGGGAAAGAATGAGAAGGTAGTGAATAACTCGAGGCGGCGCAGATAAAAGCAGCGAAAATCATCCTAGGATGCTCCAAGCGCACAAGTAATGCAGCCATCAGGGCAGAATTGGGGATCCAATCCCTACGGCCGGGAAGAGACGCAAGGAGGCCGACATGGCAGTATCGCATGTGCGGGATGGGAGAGCAGAGGTTGCCGAGAATTGTATGGGAGGCGAAGTGGGCAAACAAAAAGCGGGGTAGACAACCCACGGAATGGGTCAAGGTTGCAGAGGACGTATGGAAGGGGTTCGGCATCGACGAAGATGAAACGCTGGAAACGGAGGGTCCACAGGGGTTCAAGGAGAAGATATCTGTTGCTTGTGCCGAGAGAGAAGAACAGTACCCAAGGAAAGAAACCGAGGATAAGGAGGGTCTAGAAGTGTACGGAATGCTGCAAGAAGGAATAGGGTTCAAGGATTACCTACATGGACCAATGGATGCAGCGACAAAGCTTGAGGTCAAATTCAGGACCGGGGACATAGGCCTTCGCGAACGTCGACGAAGACATAGGACGGTAGACGACGATGACGACAAGTTCAAATATGATTGAAGCTTCGAATGCGAAGATCGTGTTTATGTAGTCGCGGAATTCGGCTGTACAATAAGGAGAGGGAAAAATACAAGGGAGGTACAGGGAGATGTCTGAGGCATGGAATAGAGAGGAGAGGGCGGTAGCTGTACTGGGGAGTAGGAAGTGGTTTGAAAAGGCGGGAAGGGACATCGGTAGGATAGACAAACTAGGGAAAACAATTTTTGAGCCACCTTTGGCAAAGTAGGAAGGAACGATTGACCATCGGTGATCTGTCGTGTGGGAACAATGCTCCGTCCTCTCGAGGACGCGTGGTCAATGGTCTATCCGCTAAGGCATGCAAAACATAAGAGTACCCCGCCGTCCAACTGAACCGCATGCTAATGCCCTGGAAACCATGGTCAATTATCTTTTCTGGTCTGAGTTCCAGAGTGAAGACGTTTGCCACAACAAGACCGCCGCTACCTTGTTTC